TAGTGTTTTGTGAAGTGGTGTGTTTATCAAGTGCTTTATGAAGTATTGTTTTATAAAGTTGTGTTTTATAAAGTTGTGTTTTATAAAGTTGTACAATGTTCTTTGATGAACCAACCGAGTCAGAACTTTTCAACTCTCCCCCCGGGAAAACCTTCGATCAGAAACTAAAGGAACAGTCAGACGGATTTAAACATCAGGTTACGGGCGCGTAGATCGTCAGTGGGGTGGGGGGGGGGGGACGGACGAGTGACGTTAAGTCTCGTGCTGTCACTGACCGAGTTGTCGAAGCGAGGGGTTACGTGTGTACTGACACATCACCCGTTTGAAGTGGCTCTTTTGTTCGTGTCAGTTGGTCTTAGTGTCACGACAAGCGGTTATCATGTAGAATTATGTCATACTGTCATGTCATACAATTTTTTAAGTCAGTCGTTTGAGGCAATTACGACATACAGTTATGTCAAACAGTTATCAAGTTATATAAACATGTCGTGAAATCATCCCAAACAATCATCTCATACTATCATGTCTAATAGTCATGTCATACAATCATGTCATACAATATTTGTATACAAGCATCTTATACAATCATCTTATACAATCATCTTACACAATCATCTTATACAATCATCTTGTACAATCACCTTGTACAATCATCTTGTACAATCATCTTGTACAATCATCTTGTACAATCATCTTATACGATCATCTTATACAAGCATCTTATAAAAACAAGTCATACAATCATGTCCTACAATCATCCCATACAATTATCTCATACGATCATGTAATAAAAATCTTGTTATTATGTCATTTCATACAGTCATAAAATCCAGTCATGTTATACAATCATCCCAAACAATCATGTCATAAGTCATATCATAAAATCATGTTATACAAGCATGTCATTAAGTCATGTCATACAGTCATGTCACTCCCATTCCCTCTTGCCAATCAGTCATGCTCAACCCACAATGCAACACTTTCCTTTGAGCGCATCAAAAAACTTGAGCGAATCTGCAAGTCATTTCAATACATTATCAGACCGTCACATTTTAAGTGCTTCTCTCTTTCATGGTTGAGCGATTTTAATGAGTTCATTTCTGTGAAACACAAACAGTTATCTCATGTGCACCAGGGTAGGATCTGAAAGTTGGATCTAGACTGAGGATTTTCTGTCTTTGTGGTGTACTCAATGACCTATTAGATGAACGTGCAACTGTAGTAAGTGATGGCGAGGTGTGGTAGTAGAGCGCACGACAGCCATCCCGAATATTAATCCGAAAGTCTCGAGTTCTAATCCCGATGTTAAGTCTGTAGAACGTCCATGAGTCCATCCAGCTACGGTGGGTACCTGACTCAAAGAAAAGAAAGGCAGTCAGGTATAGCAGTGACCATGACACACCGAGGTTAGATATACAGGTTAAGTTCTACTTTACCTGCCCCATTGACCGTCTGGTTTGAAAGGGTAGCTTGACCTTTTTCTTAGGATTAAATACATACTAGGATTCACTTCAAGCTGAGTTAAGGAACTTTCTGGATCAAAGAAGCTCTACTGGAATACATCCTTAATTACAGGAGCAGGCCTCTCTCGTATAAACATTAACTTCTCTCTCGTATCCACATTAACTACTCTCTTTTATACACACTTAACCACTATCTCCTATCTACATTAACCACTCTCTCCTATCCACATTAACCACTCTCTCCTATCCACAGTAACCGGTCTCTCCTATCCACATTAACCACTCTCTCGTATCCACATTAACTGGTCTCTCCTATCCACATTAACCACTCTCGTATCCACCATAGTTAGCCTCTACGCGTCACGTAAAACACCCACGCCCATATACTTTAGGCCGTACTAAATTACTCTCTAAAATACATACGCTACAAAAATAAGAACAAAACAAAACACTATGCAACAGAGCAAAACAAAACACTACAAAAAAAAAACATTAAAAAATAAAATAGCAAAGCTGAATAGCTAATGTAATCGATAAAACAGAACGATTCGCTCATCCTTTAATCTTGTAGCGGTCTGTCTTTTGTTGTGTTTGAAAGCAAATTATTATTAACCAGTAACATTGTATTGTGCTACTTATAGAGTTGTGAACAGTGGATTCTAAAAAAAACAACAGCAAGCGGTGTAAATGAATGTAAATATGAATGAAATGGGGGAAGCGTGGTGAGGAAGTAGAGCGAGTTATTGCCAACTCCGAAAGTCCCAAGTTCGAATCCTAGACAAACGAGACTAAATAGCTAAGGACAAAAACTCATCTAAGAGAGAAAACTCCGAAATCCAACAACCTCAACCTTGTAGATTGTTCTTGGGTGGACTAAGGTTATGGAACCGAATCTAGAAAGAAAAGCAGGTTAATCTCAGAGTCAACATGACTTATGACGCAAAACATGTTAACACGTAAATCTTAATTGTGTTGGGGGAAACCCCTTCAGTTGTACAATTTTAGAACAAAGGAAAAGTGTATGATACGACAATGTCAGTAAATAATTATCTAAAATAATCTGCTGTCATTTACTCTCATTAATTTGATTAAAAAAAAACACAAAGCGTCTAAACAGGAAATCCCAATTAATGTAATTACCCTAATTAATACGCACGTCAAGCATTTAAAATACCTTTACACCTTTTGTTCAGTGTATCCCTCTAACGGAAAAGCTCCCGCTGACGTCATCCCAATCACCTCTACCTGATCCCTTTAGCACCTGAAGACCGAGACTTAATTTTAGCTGCACCGGATATGACGATAGAAAGCGAAAACGGAAGTAGTTACACAATTAGAAAGTACCGGATTAAAAATGGCTTTTATCGCTAACTGACATTTCCTGTTAGGGTGGGGTCAAAAACGTTCAGGATTTTATTTTTTTCCTCGCACACTATTGGTGCAAATTTTCAAATCCGTTAAGAAAATTTATTGCAACCTTTAATGAATGTTAATGAGATTGCAATACATTTATTTCTTAAACGGTTTTGACAATTTGCAACATGCAATGCATGTTTCTAATGCTGTCTTTAAGAAAGATTTTAATTACATGTTGCTTCGTTCAGATGTTGGTTATGCTGGGATGAGGTCAAATACTTTGTTGGTTATGCTGGGATGATATCAAATACTTTTTTGGTTATGCTGGGATGATATCAAATACTTTGTTGGTTATGCTGGGATGATATCAAATACTTTGTTGGTTATGCTGGGATGATATCAAATACTTTGTTGGTTATGCTGGGATGAGGTCAAATACTTTGTTGGTTATGCTGGGATGAGGTCAAATACTTTGTTGGTTATGCTGGGATGATATCAAATACTTTGTTGGTTATGCTGGGATGAGGTCAAATACTTTGTTGGTTATGCTGGGATGATATCAAATACTTTGTTGGTTATGCTGGGATGAGGTCAAATACTTTGTTGGTTATGCTGGGTTGATATCAAATACTTTGTTGGTTATGCTGGGATGATATCAAATACTTTGTTGGTTATGCTGGGATGAGGTCAAATACTTTGTTGGTTATGCTGGGATGATATTAAACACGTTGAGCTACCCTGTAACTGATGAGCATTAATCAAGGATATGTATATGCTAAACCAAATGTCTCTAATTCCAAAGCCCTGGCAGATTAGGCTCGATAACTTGGTACATCAACTCTTCCAGGAGAGTCAACTCAAGAATGAAACAACTGCTGCCATGTAGTTTGTTCTTGGTTGGGCAAAGGCTAAGGAAGCAAATAAAAAAAGAATAGCAGGCTGAAATCGGAGTCAACAGCCTAAATTTCGTATAAGCAGTTGACACGTATACGTAATTGTGTTGGAGAGAATCTCTTCCAACATTAAAAATTAAGAACGAAGAAGAAGAAGCGACACCTATTTCGCTCCTAGTTTCATATTCCACTCCAGGGTCACCTCATGTATTTTTTATATTACCTGAAGATTCCAACTAGTTTTAGACAGAGATTAAACCTAGTGCCTTATTAGTCACAGTACAAATACAAGGCCAATTTATCATCCAATGTCAAAACAAAAACCATGTCCGCGATACAATATGCCGTGATACACTCTAAGATTATCCATGATCTGACTTGGGTAGGCTAGATGATTATATTTACACATGATGTATAAACATATTAATCATTTCCCGACTTGAGATAGAATGATGCAAATTTTATCCCTTGTAAGACAACTATTATAAATCCAATTATAATTGTTATGCATAGAAAGACAGAGATAATATAACAGGACACTGTAAAAGTACTGTATGAATAAAGTGACAAAGTAATTTATACAAATTAAGAAATCAAAATCCGTACAGTTTGGTGTTGCCCCACCCTGGGGCTTCATCTTCTGACCCACTCGGCGTGTATGACGGACAGGAGGGAGGGGTGGGGGAATACGATCGTCTTGCTGGGGAGGAGTGGGGAGAATACGATCGTCAAGGGGCCGGGGGAGGAGATCTTGTAATTGTGTTCCACTTGACGCCCCAGGGTCATGTGGATGTGGAAGTCCGTGGGATGAGGCAGGGTCTAGACATATGGCATAACTACAGTGTGCACAAGTGGGCTGTTGTCTAAGTTAACAGCGAGGGTTTAGATCACTTGTACTCGCGGGCTGTTGTCCATGTTAACATGGGGGGGGGGGGTGTACCTTAGGGTCTATGTACATTTTGTTGTAGCTAGTCATTGTGGAGTTGTTTGAAACTGTAGGCTCCCAGTATGCTAACCTTTGACCCCCCTCACTCTTTTCAATAATTCGCCACTGGCTTTAAGCCATTGTTTGTCTTAAGCAAAGAGAGAGAGAGAGAGAGAGAGAGAGTGGGAGAAAGAGAGAGGGATGGAGAAAGAGAGGGAGGATGAGAAAGAGCATGCAAGAAAAAGAGGAGTTAGATGCATGGAGAGTGCGACTGAAAGAGAGAGAGAGAAAGAGAGAGAGAGAGAGAGAAAGAAACACTCTGAGAGTAGAGAGACACCCTCAAAGATAATGACATACTTTCAGGTATCCCAATGGCCATGACGTCAGCGTGGTCCCACAGGTGGATCTGGGGCGCCACGATGTGCGACATCGAGGCCTTCATCGTCTACTTTCTGGGCCTAGCCTCCATGTACGTGCTCATGGCCATCGCCTTTGATCGCTACATCGCCATCAGCAAACCGCTGATGGGAGCCAAGATAACCAAAACACTGGCATACATCTCTTGTGGTGAGTACATTACCCGACATACACCTGACATTACCTGACATACACCTGACATACACCTGACATAAGCCTGACATACACCTGACATTCACCTGACATACACCTGACATACACCTCTAGTGGTGAGTGCATTACCTGACATACACCTGACATACACCTGACTTACACCTGACATACACCTGACATAAGCCTGACATACACCTGACATTCACCTGACATACACCTGACATACACCTGATATACACCTGACATACACCTGACATACACCTGACATACACCTCTAGTGGTGAGTGCATTACCTGACATACACCTGACATACACCTGACATACACCTGACATACACCTGACACACACCTGACATCCACCTGACATACACCTGACATACACCTGACATACACCTGACATACACCTGACATACACCTGACATACACCTGACACACACCTGACATCCACCTGACATCCACCTGACATACACCTGACATACACCTGACATACACCTGACATACACCTGACACACACCTGACATCCACCTGACATACACCTGACATACACCTGACATACACCTGACATACACCTGACATACACCTGACATACACCTGACACACACCTGACATCCACCTGACATCCACCTGACATACACCTGACATACACCTGACATACACCTGAAATTCACCTGACATACACCTGACATACACCTGACATACACCTGACATACACCTGACATACACCTGACATACACCTGACATACACCTGACATACACCTGCCATACACCTGACATACACCTGACATACACCTGACTTACACCTGACATACACCTGACATACACCTGACATACACCTGACATCCACCTGACATCCACCTGACATACACCTGACATACACCTGACATACACCTGACATACATCTGACATACATCTCCTGTGGTGAGTACATTACCTGACATACACCTGGCATACATCTCTTGCGGTGAGTACATTACAAAAACCTGGCGACCAGTTCTTGTGGTAACTAGGTCACCATACACCTAACATGATGGGTAGATCACAATACTTCTGGCATACACATTTTATTCAACTTCATGTTGATTGTACGAACATACTTTTCGATAAGTAAACAATCCACACTGGTGATAATGTATGATTTCACGACATATTAATAACTACCTAACACATGTATTTGTAAATAATTACTATAATAAATGTGTGTTTCGAAGTATTCAGAAAAGCAAGCAATCCTAGCATCCAAGATTAATCTCTACCTAACAATAACATTTGGTCTCATAAGACACGAGCAGTAGCGTAGCGATGGGGGGGGGGACATATGTCCCCGGGCGGCGACCTTAGGGGGCGCCAAAATGGGTTGGAAAAATAAATTGAAAGGTTGAGTGGGGTGCAAATGGAAAGTTTGAGGGGGGGGGGTTTGCATATCGAAATCTTGAGGGGGGGGGGGGTGCAAATCGAAAAGTTGGTCCCCGGCCGCCGGGAAGGGTCGCTACGCCTCTGGACACGAGTGTTAAAAAGTTTTGTCTGTGTATTTTGTTTATTCCAAATATAAAATGTTATTCAAGACTTAATTTTTTTATAAAACCTTCAGACTATATGCTGCATTCTTAATATAAAAAAAAATAATATTTTGAATCTAAAACATTTGGAATCTTTTTCAACAAAAGTACAAAGCAATTTATATTTATTTTACTTTAGTTTTATTACGAGTGCGTGTCAGTGTTTCTTCCAGACTTTTTTCTCCGGGGGGGGGGGGGGGGGCTTTTGAAATTTTCGGGGGGGGGGCGGTCAAAATTTTTGGGGGGGGGGGCGGACACTAGTAAAAGTGTATGTTTACTATATAAAATCCATCTCGTTCGGGGGGGGGGGGGGGGCAGTAGACTTAAATGCCTTGTTGAATAGCCATTACATCTGATGTTGAATGTTATACCTGTACTGTCCCCACAGCCGGCTGCTACTTCCTGGGATTCGTCTGGGCCATCCCCCCAGCGTTTGGCTGGAACGAGTTCGACCTGGAGGGCGCTGGCATCTCCTGCAGTGTCGTCTGGGAGAACCCCGACCCGGTCTACACCAGCTACATCTGGGCCATCTTCTTCGCCTGCTTCGTCATCCCGCTGGGCATCATGATCTATTCGTACTGGGGCGTGCTGGCCACGGTAAGTGACGTCATACAGCTGGACATCATGGTCTACTCATACTGGGGCGTGATGGCAACGGTAAGTGACGCCATCCCACGGTAAGTGACGTCATCGGGCATCATTGTCTACTGGGTAAGTGAAGTCATAGCGCTGGGCATCATGGTCTACTGCAGGGGTCTCCAAACTACGCTCCGCGATGTCATTTTATCCGGCCCGCGACGATCTTTTTGTCCACTGAATAAATGTTTGTTGGAGGTGGCTGAGGAGCTTTGCACGGAAAATTCAAAACTATTTGAAAATGTAGCTTGAAAGAAATAGGTGACTTCCTGATAGTAAAGGCAAATCACAGCCATTATTGTCTGATGAAGAGTGGGTATAGAAATTGGCCTCTGCTGCAGACATAACTAGTGATTTAAATTTTCTGAACCTAAAACTACAAGAGAGTGAAATCTAGTTTATGATCTATACACCCACCTAAAGGCCTTTAGATACAAACTTGTCATGTTTTTGGAACAAGTACAGGCTAACAACTTGACACACTTTCAGCAGTGCAAGGTCTTTACGGCTGAAGCAACCACTGAGTCCCGCACGTCCTTTACATACGAGATCGTTAAAGACCTCCAGCTGCAGTTTCAGTAGCGGTTTTCTGACTTGGATTCAAAGGCAGAAGAAGTGAGACTGTTTCAAAGCCCATTTGAAGCAAATGTGGCCAGTTGCAAAGATGAACTGCAGCGGGAGGTCATTGAATTGCAGGAAAATGACTTCCTTAGAGACACGTTCAAAGAAGGGCGGATGGGTTTTCATACGGTTTTGCACAAGGAAGACTTTCCTAACATAAAAACTTTTGTATCAAAATACCTTTCAAATTTTCGAACAACATACCTGTGTGAACAAAAAATTTCAAGAATGAAATACGTGAAGAACAATTTGAGAACACACGTAGACCTCGGGTGGGGGGGGGGGGTGGACACTTGAAATTTGCATATATTTCTATATAAATTATATTTCGTTGGGGGGAGGGGCGGTAGACGTTTTTTGGGGGAGGGGGGGGGTGGGGCGCCACGACCCTGAAGAGATGCCTTAAAGAAACTCTGGCCCCCGAACTGATATTTGATAGTTAATGCGGCCCTCGGGCTGAAAAGTTTGGAGACCCCTGGTCTACTGGTCTACTGGGTAAGTGACGTCATCTCGCTGGGCATCATGGTTTCCACACTTTAGACTGGTCACTTTAAAATTTTTTCACAAAGATTCTCTCCACACCCTCCCTCCCTCCGGCACGAAACATTTTTTCCCGTCCAAACGAGACCCGCCCATTCACCAAACTGCCCTCAAAGATATTTTACCAAGTCCAACATGACCGAATGTCATACTTACATGAACTGAATGTTTGACTTGTTCACATTGACAGCTCCGGTCCCTGAACAAGAACTCAGTCTGGGACATGAACAGCCGGGTGGCCAAGAAAAATCTGGCCATCGAGAAAAAAATGTTTAAAACTGCTGTGCTCATTGTGGGTGAGTAATTTACTTTGTTATTGGTGAGTACTTTTGTAGGTCATTTGTGATTTATGTCAGTTCCTATGTAGGCCAGTTCTTATGTAGGTCAAATAAAATGTAGGTCACTTGTTGCTTAGGTCAGTTCTTACGTAAGCAATCCTAATGTAGATCATGTTCTATGAAGGTCAGTTCTTATGTAGGCCAAGTCTTAAATAGGTCAGCTCTGAAGTAGGCCAAATCTAGGTCAGATCTAATGCAGGTTAGTTGTGTTAAGGCCAGTTGTTATGTAGGTCGTCTTATATAGCTAAGGTGTAATGAATGTCGTGTATTATTTAGGTCGTGTCGTATGTAGGTCAGTTCTTACTTAGGTCAGTTCTTAAATTGGACAATAGTAAAATAGGTTAGATTGAATATACGTCATATGTTCTTATGAAGGTCAAGTCTTATATAAGTCGTGTTTAATATAGGTCATGCGATAAGTATGTCATTTCTTTATCGATTCTATGAAATCTAAGCATTACTATCTGGTCAGCTAAGCATCGAAGTCTGAAAACGCCTTCATTGGTCCCTGGGCCCAGCTCTTATTTGTACCTAACTCTTGCATTTTAAATAATTTTTACACGACCATACAGTTCTTCGCAAGTCATCGTAGCAGAAACTGCTTAACTCTACTTCACCTCTTTACTCCCCGCTAAAGAAGCAACAAAAAAAGAAACTATCATACATATTGTTCTATTCTTATAGTTATTCATGGAATATCTTTAAAAATTGATTAGATATTTACTTTAAATTGAACTTAGTATCTGAAACAATGCTCCTAATGATGTTGACCTTATAATAGAAATAATGCCTTTGACCCCGACTTTGAAACGGTGCCCTTGACCCTACATTAAAAACAATGCCCCCACTTAATGACCTTGACCTCCACAGCCAGCTTCTGGGCGTGTTGGATGCCCTACACCATCGTCTCTTTCATCGTCGCTTTCGCCGGAAGTGACATCATCCCGCCGTTGTTCTCCACCATTCCACCCGTCATAGCCAAGTGCCAAGGTGAGTGCTGGTCACGCTTCACCTGTTTCCGCTCTCACACCTCGGTATGTTCACACGCTCTAACTCCTACACCATCACACACCCGTGTCACCAAACCAATGTGTATGTCTGTGGCACTGTATGGAATCAGTCAATTTGACGAATGTACTCATTATACATGTATCAAAATATACCACAGCAACCTATTAGATACTTTTATATATATATATATATATATATATATATATATATATATATATATATATATATATAATATATATATATATATATATATATATATATATATATATATATATATATATATATATATATATATATATATATAATATGTATGTATATCTGTGTGTGTATAAGTATATATACTTTAGTTATATACGATACCTACTGTATAGAGTAATGTGGGTTGGCTAATGAGCAAGTAAATGTTCATTGCCGTAAATTTTGACAAATGATTTTACCATGCTATTCCCATTTTCATACACCCAGTAGTTAAATAGATCCTGCATTTAGTTGTAAGACCACTAGGCTGCTTAGATTCCAGGCCTCAACCCTTTTGAAGAAAAAAAAGTCACAGAAAAAGAAATCATAATCGAATAGACAATCGCGATAATATACAAGCAGACATTTCTTGTAGCTATTTAGAAACAAATATCATTGAATACTAGGTTAAAAGACACGTTGATGTTTTACATAGTCTGTGTCTTGAACAAGAGAGGGGCTTTAATATCTTTCCTCATTGTCTGTCGAGGCAGTCTCTGTTACACCTGACCCCTTTATATAAACATCTACGTCACAGTCTCTCAGTTCTATCTCTATAGTCGTATAAGTATTCTGACCATCTGTTTCCTATCTGAGGTTGGTAGACGGTTGCTGTTCAGATTTCCGACTCTTAAAAGTATTCTATCCATCTCTCTTTACCTCAGTACCTCTTTATTTGGGACCATCTCTCTTTACCTCAGTACCTCTTTACTTGGGACCATCTCTCTTTACCTCAGTACCTGACTCATCTCTCTTTACCTCAGTACCTCTTTACTTGGGGCCATTTCTTTACCTCAGTACCTCTTTACTTTGCGTCATCTCTCTTTACCTCAATACCTCTTTACTTGGGTGCCATCTCTCTTTACTTCAATATATCTCTACGATATCTCTTTATCTCACCTCTTCTCTCAAAACTGCTAAATTTTTATACATATGTTTATTTCAAATTTCCGCACTTTTTGTTATTTCATTAAAACCGAAATCTACAGCCTAATAAAACTAAAAATAATATCTTACAGTTGAGATAAAAATATTTTTCTGTGACATTTTTCTCTGCTTATAGATTCTATTTAATCATTTACACTCAGTTTCATTTATTAAACTTTTATTTTATTTCATTTTTTTTTTTATTTTGTTTCAGCCCATTAAGTTGTATATTTTTATGAATCCCCGACTAATTTTTCTCTATTTTCTATCCCGCCAAGGCCTGCTTAATCCCATCATCCTTGTCTCTAGGCACAGAGCCTTTCAAAGGGCGTTTTTCGCAACCTTTGTCGTGCAGAGGCGGCGTAAAAAGCGAACGGAATTTTCAGAGAGAGTCATTGAAGTAAGACCGTTGTGACGCGACTATTGTTAATGGAGATTTATATTTGTTTTAAAATCAGAGACATTGAAACTTTTTACTGCCCGTAGGTTATAGATTGCTAGAGGTGTAAAAAATAAAATGAAGACTTTTATAAAGTATATCAGAGTATTTACAGCAGTGGTTCTTAAATTTTTTTGGGGTATCGAACCCCACCAGTTTCTTATTCGCGTTTTCCGAATCCTTAGTAATAAAATCTGTTCGCGAATTATATGAGTCGGGTGTGTGTGTCTTGAGCTACGCTGAACCCCTGAGACTGATTAAGCGAACCCCTGGGGTCCGATCGACCCCAGGTTAAGAACCACTGATCTAGAGGAACGCTACGGGAACAGAACTGTACCCGGACAGATTCGCGAAATTTGAGACAGGGCGAGCAATCTGCTGTCACAACCAGATGAGATTTTAAATATTTATTAGCTAAAAGTGGGGGTATTTTTTTTGGGGTGGGAGGTGGGGTGGGGTTGGGGGGGGAGGAGGTTGGACTTTGGGAGGCTGTGCATTGATTAGGTACGGGACGGGGGCTGTAACATTTAGACCCTAACTAGAACTAGGGGTAGGGGGTTTGTATAATTTGAGATCTTAAACAGAGCTGTGAGTGTGTGTGTGTGTGTGTGTGGGGGGGGCGGTTAGGCTTTAGGAGGCTGTACATTAATTAGGTGGGGGTCGGCGGCTATAAAATTTACACCCTAACTAGAACTAGGGGTAGGGGGTCGTATAATTTGAGATCTTAAACAGAGGGGAGGGGCGGAGCTATAAGTCTTCGTCTCTGAAGCAACCAGTGACTAAATATAGGTCACCAGCTGTTGTGTAGACACTATCACGTGATACCCGTGTTGTAACATGTTTTATTGAGCACGATACGTAACTGGTCCCGCGCGATAAATTAATGAAATCCGCCCGTCAATATAGATAAACATAGATGTTTAATTGTATGTTGTTAATGAGTATGTTGTTAATGAGTATGTCGGTAATGTTACAATGCTATGTTGTTTTTGTACCCTACTCCCTGCCTAATATGTAGCTTGTTTGCTTATTTATAGTTTTTTTTCTTTACTTTTGTCATCATTTCGTTTTTATTCTGCTGCTAGATATTTTTCTGTATTTCAATATTAATATAGGCTACATTAAATTTTTTAGTTATTTTTCAGTTGTGTTATTTTAACTTTACAATACCCGGAATATCAATAATATTTTTAATAATTTCTCCGGAAATTTAAACAGTATTTCACTAATTTAATTAATATTTTAAAAAAATATTCACCAGAAAAATAAACACAAAAAATCGCAGTTGCCTTAAAAATTCATATTATTACACTTTTTTTCTCATGTTTTATGTATATTCATAGCCTCGGATTCAGTGCGACCTTTCTCTTGTTATTTTTAAACTCCTTCAAGTATGAAATCATCAACGACCTTTTATCTAAATAAAACAAAAATGAACCGATATGAAAAAGAATAATTAGATTTTTTTGAGAAATATTTTGCTAAAAATCTCAAGTTCGCTCAGGTGTCAGAGTGTATTATGTGTCTCTACAGATAATTTTTTGAAAAAAAAAATGATAGAAAGTTTTATTTAGATGAGTAATTGAGATAATTATTTGCTGGAAAATCTGTTTACCAGATACTGACATTTTATCTACCACGTAGTCAAGTCCATTGTTGACGCGGATTTTTTCTGTACCACCCCTTCACCGTCTTTCTCACTCCGCGTTAGACCTGGCTGTTACCTACCTGTTATATCTACTCAACTGATCTTTAGAAAACTCTGTTTTTTTTCGCTTGGTTCCGTTACAGTTCCGTGCATTATAGGAACATCCTCGCCAGACCTGATGACATATCCTGATGACATATCCTGATGACATGTCCTGATGACATGTCCTAATGACATGTCCTTTACATCTGCTCTTTCATTCAGCAAGCGGCCTTATAATGATGCCCAATCAACTACGTACGTTATTGAAGATGCTCTCTTTATACGAGATTCCTAATAGCCCTCTATAACCTATCATTTTCTTGGATATATGTTTGTTTATGCATTCCTGTTTGTGTCTAGATTTTGGGAGCTGAGAGACAGGACAGTGGCTTTGATCAAAGTTTATGTTAGCCAGATTTTTAATGCAGTGTTTATGTTTTCGTTTTTTTTTATGGGCTAGCGGGCGGATCTTAAGTCTGCGCATGCGTAGCTTTGTCGAGCATTTGCAGACGTGGACAGTACATCCGAGAAGTTGGAGATTTTGTACATGTAGTTTCTCTTCTACAATTATTTTTAGTGTTGGAAGGGATTCCCCCAACACAATTAAGTATACGTGTCAACTGGTTATGTGCCATTTTAGGCTGTTGACTCTGATTTCAACCTGCTTTTCTATTTGGATTTGCTTCCATAGCCCTTGTCCAATCAAGAACAAACTACCAGGCAGCAGTTGTTTGATTTTGGAGTTGTCTCTCCGAGGGGCTGTCCTCAGCTAACGAGCCTCATCTGCCCGAGGGTTCGAACCTTAGACTTTTCGGTTTAGCAACCATGAGCTAAACCGACCACGCCGACCCCTTATTCCATTTTGAAACAGTTTGTCAATGTTGTTTACTACGTCCGTCGTTGCTTCGTTCGTTCTATGTTCTCAGCAATATAGAAGTCCGTCATTCTTTTGACGCCAAGGCTAATTACACCTTGTTATTTTCAAAAGTATCTGCCATTATTTGTTTACAATAAAATGCCCATAGATATGTGCAAGTGGAAATCACCGCCTCATTTCAACTGTACTGTTTTTAAATATTGTTTAACACTGTTATTGAAATAGACGACGCTTGCTTCTTTGACACATATGTTTTAGTTTGCTTTCTCTATTATTTATGTTTTTTTTCTCACTCTGGGCAAAAGATCCCCAAAGCCAAACTCTCTTAAAAGCAACTAAACGTCTACAGATACCTGGTCTAGATTTTTTTTAAGACTGCGGGTATTTAATAATCTGAGATTAATGATTTATTTAGTTGTAATTCGTTCCTGTCTGAAACCTGACAGTTCTTTGGATGATTTTTGCAGCTTAAATCTTAAATCTATCATATTTGATTTTTGCCTGGAATTCCTCTGAATGGCTTGAAAGTCATAGGTGCGGCAGTTTAGGCAAGTGGTAGGTTGTGTTTCTTTGGGATGGTGATGATGAGGAATTGTGTATTTAACATAGCTCTATCTCCTACCCGCCACATCCTGTTGCAGATATTTAGAAGCACTCTTGTCATAGTTTCTCCCTCCATGACATATTTAGCAACGCCCCTGTCATAATTCCTCCCCTGTCAGATATTTAGCAGCGCCCCGACTAGTACAGTAAAACTACATCTCATTGGTCGAATCTTTGACCTCACCTTCTACAGAATAGGTTATGACCCGCCTGTTTATTATATTTCAGTGTACTATCGCGCTTCAAACTCATCGAGAAGATTGTTTCAGCTATGGTTCAAATGTCATCTCATATTTCTTCTAGCTGACCTCTTACTGATGGCATATTGCATGAGCCAGTTATGATTATACCTGGCACTAATACCAGCTGTAAATAGACCAGTATTTTACCCCCCCCCCTCCTTTACTGACCCTCGCGTCGTATGAGCAGGTAGGAATGTATTATGACCGTCATTTGTCACGTACGTCTCGCGGTGGTCAAGTTTCTGGGTGTTAAACTTCGCCATACATTTGTATTATTGCCAGATATTCCGAGAGCAAATTAATCAACATATTGTCTTACTTTCAAATCACAATGCAAACTTGAAACAAACTTCAGAAGAAAGAAAAAATATATATAATTTTTGTGTCTGAAATATCTGGTTTAAAAGCTGACGTTTGCGCCGGCATCAAATATCAACATTTGACATCTCGTTAAAATCAGGCAATAAAAAGTTGAACGGGAATTTTGAATAGGGAAATTATTAACATAATAAAATTAGTTTTGTTTTTATTGTATAGGTGTGGTCTAGCTCGCTATGTCTAAAGTAGATTTCACATATATGGGTGTCTGTGTTTTGTATGTTATGGGCCTTGCACAGAAATGTAAAAAAAAAAAAATTAAAATGTCATTATTGTATTAACGTTCCAATTATCGTTTTTTTTATAAGCTAGCTTCGGATGTTCTGTGTTCTATGTGGCTTCGTTTAACACCATTTTAAACTTTTAAAAAGTAGAACAGAATATTTTTAGAAAAAAAAAGAAATTAATTATTTAATTTTTTTGTAGGCGTAAATTTTAAAAATTGGAAAACGTGAAGAAATTTGATGATTTTTTAATTTATTTTATGATGTTTTTATTTCTTTTTATGATGTTTTTCTTTTTATGATGTTTTTATTTTTATGATGTTTTTATTTTTATGATGTTTTTAATTTTATGATGTTTTGACTTTTGTGATGTTTTGACTTTTATGATGTTTTGATGGTTTGATGGGTTGATGTTAACTATTCCAGGCCTCCTCGATCCTATAATCTACGTGGCGACCAACAAACAAATGAGAACGGCCCTGTACGAGATGCTACCCTGTCAGGGCCTCAAGGCCTCCCTCCTCAAAGAGGAGCAGGAGGCCGTGGAGGAGCCGGAGTCTGAAGAGTCAGACGTCGAGGGGCCATCCAAACCAAAAGGCGCCAAAAAATCTGACGGAGCCAGGAAACTGGACGAGAACAAGAGAGGAAAAATTGGCGGGAAAAAGAACAAAGTCCACGCCGTTAATGTGGAACCGTCTGCAGAAGGCGTGCAGGCTTCTAGTCCCGACGGGTCAACTGTGGTCAGTTGTGTTCAAATCTCCCAGGTTGGCCCTAGTACACAGGTCAGCTATACCAGCAAGTCTAGCTGAGGACGGGTTGTCTCCCGATACCTCATCTACTCGATCACGTACCGAATCATTATCGAATACAAAATTCAGAACGATACCAATACAGTATTAAATACTTAGCAAATATAATATTCAGGAAAAAGCCTATATTGATACCTACTTAAAATGTATTGTGAAACATTACTTTGAAATCAAGCGGTTGTTCTATGCGCAAGAATAGATTTCTTCTGTTTCCATTTTTAGCTGACACCGATTTATTTATAGCTATCATGTGATATAGCTGCTTACACACCGACATCTAAAGCTTTCAAAACGTGGTGAACCATGTGGTGACGCACGTGATGCTGACGTAACTGTGGACGTCATGTTTGCTGATGACGTCATACACACTAGAGACTTAGTAACTAGATAAATAAGTCGAGCATTTGGAAGGAACTATACATGACGTTAACAATGACGTAGGGTACGATAGAGGAAACGACACACACACACAAGAAATACACATACACACAACTAAAAGTCACACGTACACTATTAACAGTCACACATACACAAAAATAATCACACACACAGAAGAAACAGTAACACATTCACAAGAAACAGCCACACATACACAAGAAAGAGTCATACATACACAAGAAACAGTCACACATACACACGAAAAGTCACACATACACAAGAAACAGTTAAACATACAAAAGAAACAGTCACACATACACAAGAAACAGTCACACACACACACACACAGGAAACAGTCACACACACACAGGAAACAGCCACACATACACTAAAACCATTCACACACAGCCTTCGACTTAGTCACCTAAATTTAACTTGCATTACTTGTCAATTTCACTCGAATATTTACATGTTCTGGAGCTTAAGATTTTAATTTATTCTGTTGATTTTTAAGTTATTAAGTCCGCTTGTCATACAACATTACATCATTAATTTTATTCAAGCGGAATCGCTGATAATTTTTTTTTCACAACCCGAGTATTCTACTTCTGCACTTCTCTGTCTAAAAATTGTAATAGTTTTTTTTTTTTCAAATTTCTAAAGCTGCTATTCGATTTCCATTTCCACAATAATTTTCTTGTGTTTATTAATTGGCTATTTAACACACATCCACACACACACACTAACACACACATCAACAACACTCAAGCTTACATAAACATCTTATACAACACAAGAACACATACACCTACACACACCCACAACCACACCAACTCATACACCAACAACACTCAAACGTACATAAATATCTTATACAACACAAGAACACCTTCACACACACACACACACACACACACACACACACACGAGCAGACACATACAGCTCTATCTCACACACAAGCAAACCACACACATATTCGTTGGAAATGTGAGGGTTTTTTTATACGCTCCCTCTTGTTGATATAATCGGCCTAACCCCCCCCCCCCCCCAACTCTTCAATCTAGACAAAAATATTTTAAAATCGTTACAAGATTGCCGCTCAACATGAAGCATGAAATTATTTTAAGAAACCCAAAAAAAAAAAAAAAAAAAAAAAAAAAAAAAAACAACCTGCACACACTTTTATTTGGAAGGCTAAAAGAAAGCTTCATGTTGCGTATATTTCATCTGGTCGAAATTTGAGATATCGTTACGTTGGAAATCTCGTAGAAGATCTCGTTACGTTGGAAATCTCGTAGAAGATCTCGTTACTTTGGGAATCTCGCAGGATTTAAATGAAGTCCCATCGATTACCGTACTCCTGACAATCAGAGAGCCGTTAAAACAAATGTCCATCTGTCCCCCCAAGTCCACATTTATCCATCAGCTTTTGAATCCTTTATTCAAATTACACCCACTCTGTTTTTTGTGTAGACCGGCATTTCTTTTTTCAAAGATATTCTCACTCTGTTTGTTTTATACAATCCGACATTGTATTATTTAACGGTACAGTTCCTCTGTTTTTATGTTATAGGCCTATATGATATTTACTTTTTTAAAAGTAGATCCACACATTTTTATAATGATGTTATAGGCCTACTGAAATTATTTCATTATTTAAAGATACATACACTCTGTTTCTATAAAAGCCGACATTGTATTATTCAACGGTACAGATTCTCTATTTTAATGACGTTTCTTTTTTTAAAAATACCACTCTGTTTTTTATAATGTATATCTTTGTTTTGTTTTAACACCCACCAATTCAGCTTTTAATTTACACCATCATTTATTTATACAAACATACATCTACACATTATTTATGTTGTACCGACGTTTCTTGTAGGATTTGCCGACGTTTATTTTATGTTATACCGACGTTTCTTTATCTTTTTCCATTCTTATACCGACAATTTTTTAATTCTTCAAAATTTTTACCGATGTTTCTTTGTATCCTACCAAACGTATACCGAACTATATGTGTATTTTTCCAATCTCAGTAAAGTTGCAGCATCATTTTTTTGTGAAAAAAATGATCCGTTCTGTTAGAAGCTTTACCGTAATGTTTGAGCCAATCATATCAAATGTCATCACCTGCACACACAACAACACAATTGTTGTATCCTCACACCTGTAGTTTACCTGTCAGGTGTGCTGCATGTTTACCTGATATGTAAGCCAGTTATTCGTGAGTGACATGCGCATTACCAGCCTACAACTTGACACTGGTTCCCATTAATTTATCACTACAGATGTTAAACAATATTTGTTTCTCAAAGTATTACGTCATACAGTTTTAATTTTGAAGTTATGTTTGTTTATTGCTTTAACTATTGCTTCTATATCTAAATATAGTGTACTAGACTATATTCATTATAATATACAGCAAAAAAAATACTAAGTATATTAGTTGGTTATGTTGTATATATGATATATTTTTATATAGACCATGAATTTGAACATGTACACCTTAGAAGAAATGAAAAATGAAGACTGTTATTGTAAAAAGTGCAACTAAAATTGTAGATACAAAATATCTATGTCATGCCTAAATAGGGTTAGCCGGGACTCGAACCCTGGATCTTCATGGTATCGTCAGACTATCGGGTCGACTGTAAATAAATATCCTACTATTTTAAACTAATTCCCAGACAGCACTATGTGTATCAGGCAACTACATATCCTAATAGGATAATACACATCGAACAGGGTCTTTTTTATACTAGAAGAATTCACAGCTTGAGTTATGAGCTCGTAATTCACTGAATTCATTCATGAAAACACATCCTTATCATTCAGCTCCGTCCATTGAATTCATTCACGCCATTAGGGAATATTGCTCGTCTCATTATGCATGTGCATTCTTAGAGCAGCTCGGTTTTGTGTGTGAGTGTAGGTGTGTGTGGGTGGGGGGGGGGGGGGGGTGTCATTCGTTTGTAAGGAGGGGGTTGGCTGTTATTCGTTTGTATTGAGGGAAGTGGTTTTCATTGGTTTGTAAGGAGGCAAGTGGTTGTCAATTGTTTATAAGGAGGGAAGTGATTGCCATTTGTTTGTAAGGATGGGGTGGTTGTCATTTGTTTGTAAGGATGGGGTGGTTGTCATTTGTTAGTAAGGAGGGAAGTGGTTGTCATTTGTTAGTAAGGAGGGAAGTGGTTGTCATTTGTTTATAAGGAGGGAAGTGGTGGTCATCTGTTTGTAAGGAGGCAAGTGGTTGCCATTTGTTTGTAAGGATGGGGTGGTTGTCATTTGTTAGTAAGGAGGGAAGTGGTTGTCATTTGTTTGTAAGGATGGGGTGGTTGTCATTTGTTTGTAAGGATGGGGTGGTTGTCATTTGTTAGTAAGGAGGGAAGTGGTTGTCATATTTTTGTAAGGAAGGGGTGGTTGTTATTTGTAAGGAGAGAAGTTTTTGTGATACGTTTCTCCCATCATGTGCAGAATGTGCATAACAGTTTTAAGTGTTTTTAAAAGGTTGTGTCTCCAGCTCCAAAATTGTCAACAGTTCCTAATGGCAGTCATCACATGCAAAAGTCGGTCTGTCTACATACAAGTCAATCTAGTTCGTGTATCCATCTCCAAAATTGTAAACAGCTCCTAATAACAGTCATCGGCTGCAAAAGCTGGTCTACATACATGTCTAGTTCGTATCACCTGGCAAGCTGTAGGTAAACAGGTAACACAGGTGCTCTACGCAGGTGTTAGTGTACATGCAGTCCACTTAGTGTACCTGAGCTGACGTACAGTGACGTTTGTACAACGATGACGTCAGGGCCAGGATAAAACACGGACACAAAAAAAATACAAAGCGACTATTGCGCGTTTACATTACAGCCTCCCAATACCGCATGCGTCGTGTTTAGTGTTTACTACCAGCACACGTTAATTAAGTATAATTAATTTTTGTCAGTTTTGATAAACAATTTTGTTGCATAATACTTATTGTAAAATTCCCGAATAACAAACAACAATACATTGTTAGTATCATTTTATCAACAAAATAAACAAATGAACGGCTAATTAGAATCAACACTAAACAAAATAAAAACAAACAACATATTAGTTAATGTAGGTAAACAAGAAAATAAGTAAAACAGTATCAACATTTTTTCGTCAGTTTATATGATCAGCACTCACAAACAACAGTACTTTACGTCACGTGTTTTCATGTGTTGATCCTGGGCCAGAAACGTAACATCTTTACACACACATAAACATACACACACACACACAAACACACACACAAACACTTATATGTATATTTATATCTATATATTATATATATATATATATATATATATATATATATATATATATATATATATATATGCGTGTGTGTGTGATTAAATATTACTCAATAAAAAGGAGTATAGCATATAAAACTACCATTCAACTGTTCAATATCATGTTTATTTCCAAAAATACCATCTGTCACAATGGTCTTACTCTATTTGTTTAGAACACAATTTAAAATTACATTTAAGACAAATACTTCAGCGTTCTTTGTGCAACTTTAAAAATTCATTATTTAACTCTCTAAAGGTTTACATGCTAAAAGCATGCTAAAAGCTTTAATTTGCTGAAAAAAAATCTTGTGTGAAAAAAATTGTAAACAAAGATAAAAGCCGCTCCAACAGACTGCAAAGAGTTCTAGCCTAACAAATATTCACAATGTAAGAGTTTTTTTTATTGATTTTAACACATTGAACTTATGCGCTTAAAATCTCCGATTATGTTGAATCTCCGGTTGGATTGTGCGTATACTGATTTTTTAATGTGTGTACATGTGTACGGATTGTGAACTATGTGGGATGTATGTTTGTGTATGGTTACTTTACAATGTGTTACTGTTTGTATAATGGTTGTATTATGTGTATGCGTGTGTTTGTGTAGGTCTGTATTAGAAATAAAGATATCACGAACTCAATCACTGGAAATAATTATTGTCGGCTAAACCTTACTTTAGGAGTTGTAGTTAAGTGAAAGACAGCATTGGTCGAATATTGAGATGTCTATTTATTGAACTCAAGACATTCGTGAGCAGTGTTTCTTCCAGACTTTTTTCTCCGGGGGGAGGGGGGGCACTTGAAATTTCCATGGAGGGGGGGGGGGGGGGGCGGACACTAGTAAAAGTGTATGTTTATTATATACAATCCATCTCGTTTGGGGGGGGGGGGGACGTACACTTCTGCGGGGGGGAAGGGGGACGGAACCCCCCCCCCCCCTATAGATGCCTGGAAGAAACTCTTTTGGTGAGATGTGTCCGTGTATAGAAACATAGACACCAATGCGATGTGTCTGCCTATTGAACACACATCTATCAAATGTGTCTGTTTTATGGAACACAGACTTTGATGAGATGTGTCTGCCTATTGAACACAGACATTGATGAGATGTGTCTGCCTATTGAACACAGACTTTGATAAGATGGTCTGATTAATTTAACCTTTGACATTTCTAAATGTTTACTCTGTGAGACAGAATAAACGTAAACAGTTAGCCATGGGAGACAAAAACGATCATTATAGATTTGGGCTGGTGTGAGTGTGTGTGTGTGTTAATGTGTATAGTGTAGTGTGTGGAAGGGGGAGGGTGTTTAACACTACTGGCATTCATTTTTGTGTGTGCAAATGTACCAATTCCTCCATTAAACAACTAAATCGCCCGAGAACGTGAAGTAGGGCCTTATGTAATAAAAGAAAATATTTCACACATGATTATACAATAGCTTTCACAATGTATCATCATCAAATCTTTATAGGTTAATTTATTTATAATGATGCAACGTTGTTATGTTAATACATTCACGATTGTTTTATTTACACTACAAATCTATTTTATCTTGCATTAGAATTTACATGTGCAATTATCATGTGCTTAATCTGTTTTATTTATTGCTTATTTGAATTCTTTAAGTTAAAAATAGAATGTTAATTTGATTTAATATTATTTTGTTAAATGCTCTAATGAATTAAACTTAATGTGATATCATTTACATTTTAAAGTATTTTGTAATATTAATTATGGAATTTATTCGTTTAATAAGTATAAGCAGTTATTTCAATTATGTCTTTTTATCTTAATTTTTCTTTCATTTTACATTTGTTTGTTTTTAATAATAAGTCATTTCATAAGTTGTTTTGTTTGGAAATTGTTATTCGTCTTCGAAACATCTAAAATAATTGTTATGTAATATTTCATAAATTACACAGGTTTATTTCCTACATAATCACCCTAATTAAAAATACTACTCTAAATTTATACAACCTTAATATTTAATTGTTAGCTATCACTAATAAATAAATATAAGCTACAAATTGATTGCGTTTATTGTTTTATGTTTCTCATGTCTTTCCATAATGTGTATATATAAATGTATATATATATATATATACATATATATACATTTATGTATATATATATATATATATATATATATATATATATATACTTAAATGTATATATATATATATATATATATATATATATATATATATATATATATATATATATATGTATATATATTGTCAAAGAAATCTTATACAATATTACATAACAAGAAAGATTTCAATGGGACAGTTTCATAATTAGCTAATTTCTAAAATATAAACATCCGGGCATTTTGTCAGGTTCTGTTGTGCCTACCGTCGAGGATAAGGTGATGAAAGGATGCAAGTGGTATATGTGATGGTGCTACGGGGCTGTATAAAGGATGCAAGTGGGATATGTGACGGCGCTTCGGGGCTGTATGGTCTGTGGGTGCTGGAGGTTAGGTTTGTATTTAGGAGGTGTAGAAAGTCATGATGTGTAAATAGTGGAGGGTAGATGTTAAGTTGGTGTTGGAGGGATGTTGTAGTGATGTTGAAGTGAAGCTGTAGGGATGTTGGAGGGATGTTGGAGGGATGTTGGGGGAATGTTGGGGGGATGTTGAAGGGATGTTGGGGGAATGTTGAGGTGATGTTGGAGGGATGTTGGAGGGATGTTGGAGGGATGTTGGAGGGATGTTGGGGGAATGTTAAGTTGGTGTTGGAGGGATGTTGGAGTGATGTTGAAGTGAAGCTGTAGGGATGTTGGAGGGATGTTGGAGGGATGTTGGGGGAATGTTGGGGGAATGTTGGGGGAATGTTGGGGGGATGTTGGGGGGATGTTGGAGGGATGTTGGAGGGATGTTGGGGGAATGTTGGGGGGATGTTGGGGGAATGTTGGGGGAATGTTGGGGGAATGTTGGGGGAATGTTGGGGGGACGTTGGAGGGATGTTGGAGGGATGTTGGAGGGATGTTGGAGAGATGTTGGGGGGATGTTGGAGGGATGTTGGAGGGATGTTGGAGGGATGTTGAAGTCATGGTGTAGGGATAATGTAGGGATGTTGGAGGGATGTTGGAGGGATGTTGGAGAGATGTTGGAGAGATGTTGGAGGGATGTTGGAGGGATGTTGGAGGGATGTTGGAGGGATGTTGGAGAGATGTTGGAGAGATGTTGGAGGGATGTTGGAGGGATGTTGGAGAGATGTTGGAGGGATGTTGGAGGGATGTTGGAGGGATGTTGGAGGGACGTTGGAGGGATGTTGGAGGGATGTTGGAGGGATGTTGGAGGGATGTTGGAGGGACGTTGGAGGGATGTTGGAGAGATGTTGGAGGGATGTTGGAGGGATGTTGGAGGGATGTTGGAGGGATGTTGGAGGGATGTTGGTGGGACGTTGGAGGGATGTTGGAGAGATGTTGGAGGGATGTTGGAGGGATGTTGGAGGGATGTTGGAGGGATGTTGGTGGGATGTTGGGGGAATGTTGGGGGAATGTTGGGGGAATGTTGGGGGGATGTTGGGGGGATGTTGGAGGGATGTTGGAGGGATGTTGGGGGAATGTTGGGGGGATGTTGGGGGGATGTTGGAGGGATGTTGGAGGGATGTTGGAGAGATGTTGGAGGGATGTTGGGGGAATGTTGGGGGGATGTTGGGGGAATGTTGGGGGGATGTTGGGGGAATGTTGGGGGGATGTTGGGGGGATGTTGGAGGGATATTGGAGGGATGTTGGAGGGATGTTGGAGGGATGTTGGGGGAATGTTAAGTTGGTGTTGGAGGGATGTTGGAGGGATGTTGGAGGGATGTTGCAGGAATGTTATAGGGATGTTCTAGGGATGTTCTAGGGATGTTGGAGGGATGTTGGAGGGATGTTGGAGGGATGTTGGAGGGATGTTGGAGGGATGTTGGAGGGATGTTGGAGAGATGTTGGAGGGATGTTGGAGGGATGTTGGAGGGATGTTGGAGGGATGTTGGAGGGATGTTGGAGAGATGTTGGAGGGATGTTGGAGGGATGTTGGAGGGATGTTGGAGAGATGTTGGAGGGATGTTGAAGTCATGGTGTAGGGATAATGTAGGGATGTTGGAGGGATGTTGGAGGGATGTTGGAGAGATGTTGGAGAGATGTTGGAGGGATGTTGGAGGGATGTTGGAGGGATGTTGGAGAGATGTTGGAGGGATGTTGGAGGGATGTTGGAGGGATGTTGGAGGGATGTTGGAGGGATGTTGGAGGGATGTTGGAGGGATGTTGGAGGGATGTTGGAGGGATGTTGGGGTGATGTTGGAGGGATGTTGAGTTGATGTTGGAGGGATGTAGGGATGTTGAGGTGATGTTGTAGGGATGTTGAGGTGATGTTGGAGAGATTTTGGAGTGATGTTGGAGGGACGTTTTTTATGTAGGATGATCTTAAAAAAGATGTCTAGTTGATGTAGGAGGGACGATGTGATGTTCGAGAATAAAGAAATAATAATTATGTCAAGTGAACAAGATCCTGAAACAGGAAGTGGCTCGACGTCATCCATTACCAGCCCCGCTGTAGCTGTAATCTGGGTCGAGGTAGACAGGAAGTTATGCAGCCCGCTGGTGGGTCAAGGCTGAATTATGGCGGGGGTTGAAAGGTTGGCAGAGATAGAACGGTATTTCGTTTCGTTTTATTCACAGAAAAATAAAATAAACCGGTGACACTTTTGTCTGGTGAAAGCCAGTATGTAAACATTTGCGCCATTCCGAGATTTGTTTGTTTGTACTTGAACGTTCTGTATTGTAGGGGTGTCAAATAGTATATGTGCTTGTTATTGTTTTGTTTTTTGTTGCTATGCAACGAATTATTCAACAGCAAAACAATTAGAGAAACAAAAAGTACAAAGAATATAAAAATAAACAACAAAAATATAACTAATAGAAATGTAATAACACAACACAAAAAAAAACTTAAAAAAACAAAATCACGATTAACAAAAACAGACCAACGCACAAACAACACCATCATAAAACAAACATAAACTAATTATTCCTTAGCATTTTTTTTTTCATTTTTTTTTTTAAAGCAGATGAGTTTTCAGTTCAGGGACAACAATTCATCTTACACTTTATAATGGGAGAGTTATGACCCCTCACACTAGACTGAATAATGGAAGAGTTACGTCCCTTCTACTTACTGTGTCCACGGGAAAGGGAGACAATGACGCGCAGACATTATATCCTGAGGTTTATGACGAGACACCGCGTTTATTTCATCCACCTCAGTTGACGTTCACTCACTAGAACGAGTCGGCGTGGTCGGGTTACTAGAGCTCATGGTTGCTAAACCAAAAAGTCGTGAGTTCGAACTCACCCGGTAGAAGAGTCTCCATAGTTAGGGACAACAACCCAAGAGAGAAAACTCAAAATTTAAAAAGAAACTGCAGTTTTTATTTTAGATTGTTCTTGGAGCAATATAAACCTATCAATGAACTCCCCATGAAGGGATAATATATACTTGTTCAGCCAAAATCGCAGCAACCGGCCAAATCACAGATCCTGAACTTGCTAACGCTTTTGCTGAGTTGTCCATGAAAAAGATTCAAGCAGAGAATCAGATCCGCCTATCCAATGCACAGATTGAAAGCTTAAACAGGAAAATTCAGCATTCCCAGCTTGTTGAATCTGAGGTGACCAGTCTACCATCTGATGTTCCTGTTTACAAGACTATTGGGAAAATGTTTTTGTCTCAAAGCAAGGATGAAATAATTACAGATTTATTAAATAAACAACAGACATTTGCTGAAAAAATTAAAGTTCTAGAGTCATCCAAAGAATACCATCAGAGAAATATGGAAAAATTCAAAAACAATGTTAGAGAACTAGTGATGACAAAGCAAAATACTCGCTGATTGATATCCACATTCACTTATCCGCTTTTCGATTCGATGTAGGACAATCCACAGGCAAGTTTCAGTTGAAATAAAGTCACAGAAAATTAAACTTTATACCATGTGAATGATCTGATTAGACATTATAAATGCATTATTAAAATTTAATGAAAAAAATTATATTTTGCTGCAAAAAAAAAAAAAAAAAAAAAAAAATAAATAAATAAACATATATAGGCCTATATATATATATATATATATATATATATATATATATATATATATATATATATATATATATATATATATATATATATATATATATATATATATATATATATATATATATATATATATATATATATATATATATATACTTGTAGATTCCATAAGTGAGCGCGTAGGCCTAAGTAATATTTATTTTTTGCAAACAGATCTACCAAGCTAAACATGTTTCTGCTAACCTGATCTACTTTTTATTGCTTACAGTTAGAGATAAAGTTGGAAGCATGACATTTTTTATGTATTACTTCGATTGCCAAGAAACTTTGGAAAGCTAAAATCACACTCCAGCAAAGGTTTTTTGTTAAAAAAACTAAACTATTGTGGTGGTGGTGGTGTGTGTGGGGGGGGGGGAATGGAGAAGGGACTGTTACCCGGTGCTACACCAGTGCTATCCTCCATCCATATGACCGTCATTGCTGTGCACTCCCCCTCTCCCTTTGAGCTTTTGATTTTTAATTAATAATTAGTTAATTAAAACTAATTCAAATTAATTTCAAGTAATGAATTGCACATTCAGAAACATATACAATTTATTTTTTTTTTTGGATTTCATTTTCAGAAAAATCACATTTTTGTTGGTTTCAGTTTCAGAAACATGACGTTTTTGTTTATATCATTCTCAGAAACATTTTTCTTAAATAAGCGTTCAAAAGCATATCCCGATGACCTTGTAAAGATTTGATTTCATTTAAGCAACTTATCCCATTCTTTTTTAGTCTAACTTCAGAAACTATCGCCTCAGTACTTGTTGTTTAAAGCTCGTTTTATTGATAAATAAGGCAATGTGAAACACAACCCAATAGCATTTTTCTATCTACTGGCACAAAATAAACGCAATGAACTTCACATTAGCCTTTGTATGACATTGAAATGAATGAATCTTAACCCAGTTTTATGTAACATTAAAGTTGCAGGTACTAAAGTTAATCAAACTTGTATAACATATTAAAGTTGCAGGTACAAAAGTGGACCAAACATGTATAACATATAAAATTTGAAAGTCCAAATGTAAACCAAACTTCTATAACATATTAAAGTTGCAAGTATAAAAGTAGACTAAACTTGTATAACATATTAAAGTTGAAAGTATAAAAGTAGACTAAACGTGTATAACATATTAAAGTTGAAAGTATAAAAGTAGACTAAACTTGTATAACATATTGAAGTTGCAAGTATAAAAGTAGACCAAACTTGTATAACATATTAAAGTTGAAAGTATAAAAGTAGACTAAACTTGTATAACATATTAAAGTTGCAAGTATAAAAGTAGACCAAACTTGTATAACATATTAAAGTTGAAAGTATAAAAGTAGACTAAACTTGTATAACATATTAAAGTTGCAAGTATAAAAGTAGACCAAACTTGTATAACATTAAAGTTGCACTAACAAAAGTAGACCAAACTTGTATAACATATTAAAGTTGCAACAACAAAAGTAGACCAAACTTGTATAACATATTAAAGTTGCAACAACAAAAGTAGACCAAACTTGTATAAATATGTAAAGTTGCAAGTACAAAAGTAGTCCAAACTTGTATAACATATTAAGTTGCAACAGCAAAAGTAGACCAAACTTTTATAATTTCCTGTCGTTGCGTAAGAGCGGATGTCAGAATGACACAGTGAGTCATGTGCCGACGACAGCTGAAGGACAATCACATGAAAATGTAGACGTAAGCTGGTTTAGCACGCGATCAAGTGGCCAGATAAAGTTGTTGACTGACAGATTGTATGCTTAATTATTTTTTGAAAATAAATTTTTGCCAAAAAAAAAATTCTTTATTTCTCTACATTAAATTTAATATGTGGCTGTATTACGAAAACATTTAATACCTCTATTTACATATCAAAATGTAAACATATTAACCGAAAGCAGAATCATAAAAACAAAAAAAACATGAAATTAAAAAAAAGGGTAGCAAGCATGGCACACACAAAGTATGGTCAAGTTTGGCCACACAAAGTATGGTCAAGTTTGGCCGACACAAAGTATGGTCAAGTGTGGCCCACACAAAGTATGGACAAGTTTGGCCACACAAAGTATGGACAAGTTTGGCCCACTGAAAGTATGGTCAAGTGTGGCCGACATAACGTATGAACAAGTTTGGCCACACAAAGTATTGTCAAGTATGGCCACACAAAGTATGGACAAGTCTGGTCAGTACATCGACTCGTGGCCGCAAAACTTGGCATTTTAATCAGAAAATATATACTTTTAACAGTGTCCGCCCCCCCCCCCCCCCAAAAAAAGTCTACCGCCCCCCACCCGAAAATTTCAAGTGCCTCCCCCCCCCCCCCTTCGGTGAAAAAAGTCTGGAAGAAACACTGATTTTAATATCGAGGTTCTGGAAGATCTGTCTAGCAATTTTGCTGACTTTTGTGCTAACCCTAACTAGAAGAAGTTTATATATTTTTTTTATTCACGACTATTTTGATGGTTGTAGTAGGACATGACTAGAGCTAGTAAGATATATTTTGCATTATTTAAAGGAAAAAATAAAAGGTAATTTCATGACTTAGACAAAAGTACAGAAAATAAATGTTCCACTTTATTAGAATTCATTTAAAATATAAAATATTTTTACTCAAGGACACACAGTTTATTTCTATAACTACAAAAAAAAAAAAAAAAAAAAAAAAAAAAAAAAAAAAAAAGGAGTTTGTACTTTTAAGTAGGAGAAATTCTAAACATTTGACTGTTTTCGTCAACTAATTTACTGATGGTATGTTGGTATAATATATTCAACTTAGTAATTCGTCACAAGAAACATTTTATGTGACATTTAACACAAGCACGACCTTGACACTGACCTTTGTTGGACGTGAAGGCACCATTGTACTTTTACTTGATAGATTGAAAGCCTTGGTCTCAAGGCAATGAATCTCAAGACTAGTTCCTCCTGTACTTTAGGGGAGCGCTTTTGGTAAGTGTTAGCAAACATTCAACATTCCATGATGAATAAAACTCACCAGTGAATGCTTATGTGAGGTTTTTACTAGATAAAACCATACGCATGGAAGTTCACAAATGTAGCGATGTAAAGACAGTTTGCAATATTGTTGGAGAAGGCAAACATTAATGTAGAAACAGAGTTCGTTATCCGAGTCAATGCTAGTTTGTTCGCACATCGAGTCGATACTAGTGTGTTCGCACATCGAGTCAATGCTAGTGTGTTCGCACATCGATTCAAAGCTAGTTTGTTCGCACATCGAGTCAATGAGGGTGTGTTCGTACATCGAGTCAATGCTGGTGTGTTCGCACATCGAGTGAAAGGCTAGTGTGTTCGCACATCGAGTCAATGATAGTGTGTTCGCACATCGAGTCAATGCTAGTGTGTTCGCACATCGAGTCAATGATAGTGTGTTCGCACATCGAGTCAATGGTAATGTGTTCGCACAGTGTTGTTTTAAAAGACAAGTCCAAACTTTGATAGCGTGTATGACTAGACTTTCCTTTCTTAACAAAATTATGTGTTTTATACAAACAATTAACTACACTAACTTTAGATTCGACTTTAGCTAAATTTAGCTAATAGCTTGGAATAGAATAAGAGAATTAAAAGAATACGATTTTTAAAAATCCGCGTCAAGTACAAAACATGACGTTTGAAAATTGAACTTTAAAAATAGTAATTTAAAGGATTTTTCTACAGATATAAATCAAAGTAGAAGTAGATCTAAATGTTTACTTTTTAAAGTATCAAGTTTCGAAAGCTAACAACATATAAAAAAAACTTTTTATTAAAATAAACCTTTTATAAAAAAACACTTTTTTTATTAACAATTAGTATTTTAAGTTACATTTAAATAATACAAAGAAAACATCCCGAGTTTTTAAATACAAAAATAGACATAAAAAAAATATTTTCCCTTTCTTCATAGAAAAAAGTGCATTAAAAAATGAATTCCAAACTGTAGATAAAAATAATCTTATTAAAATGTTTGAATTGCACTGGGCGTAATTTTATTTGTCCCGAGCGGAAAGCGAAGATTTACGTGAATTAAATTATGTTGTCGAGTGCTATATTTAAATCATGTGGGGCCACATTTTCTGTCAGCAATTTCCTGCCTCGCGAAATGTATCACAAGAAATTATTTTCAACTGCTGTCGTCAAATATCAATTTTTTTAAAAATGTATTTATATCCAACAGACGTGTGACATACATTTTACAGTGGCGAATATAGAAAAAAATGAACACCGCATCAGTACATATATTACATGCTTATTATAGTACATCTAATATATAAATAAATAGCCTAAATAAATACTAACTATAATGTATATATATATATATATATATATATATATATATATATATATATATATATATATATATATATATAGTTTTCCGTGCTGAAGGTGAAATGTAAAACGATTCTACACAATGGCAAGTGCATAATATATGAATGAATAATTGAATAATTAAAATGAAATAAATTCCCATTATTACAAATACCCCCCCCCCCCCCCAACCCCTTTTGCGTCTGTCCGGCTTTTTAGGGAACGTCTGAAGTTGGGTGCAATACGATTTAACTTCTTTTTGCCGGGTCAATTTTCTAAAGATCTTTTGTCATTGGTGTTGGTCACATTTCTAAAGATCTTTTGTCATTGGTGTTGGTCACATTTCTAAAAGTATATCCCTAATGGTGGAAAGTCACATTTTTGAAGATCATTCCACATTGTAGGAAAGTTACATTCCCATCATTCTAGTTTTCGTTTAATTTCAAATTATTCTTTTTAGAGATGAGGTT